TACGTGAAACCTCTTTGATTGCCAGACGTAAGGGAGGTTCAGTTTCTGCAGACAGAATTGTCTTTCCCAAAGACGGAGGTCACGGTTAAAAAAAGAGCATCACATCTAGGATATCTGACTGGCAAATGTGCTATCAAGGTGAACCTACTGTCCTCTTATTAATTAAGCCGATATATAAAGCCTACGCTGCAGACTGCCAATTTTGCTAAACAGTTGGAATTTTCCTTTTAACTTAACTATGAAGAGACATGGTCGCCAGTCACATTAATCAGGTAAAAGTTCTTCGATTGAGAGAGTCCAATCACCTGATTCCCAATCCGTAGGAATCTCTGCTAACACTAGAAGATGCGTATCTGCCAGAGTAGAGATGGTAAGAAAAATGTAGTTATTTTATTGGTGAGGGGACTTCACCAGAGCACATAACCGGTAGCCAATGGTAGGCAGGCGAGACATGGTGACCATTCTTTGGCAAATTAGAAATAATGTCGGCTATAATAAAGGCAGGATTTCCCCGCTATGGCTAGGCATTCGAATTCGGGATTGCCACCTTTGGGGGAGTTACCACTCGCCAGGTAACGCCAACATCGCATATTCCAGATTCGACACCAACGCAGGGCCCCAAATAGGGTGGGTAAATCAATCCCATTTGCAGCGACTCAAAAAATGCATGACATTCGCGTAAAACGCCGTTGATTACGAGACTACGAGCACCAGATCCAAAATACGTGCTCCGTCGTGCATGTAGTCACCTGTCGCGCGAGTTGTAACACCCTATCTTGGCGAGCAAGAACCACATTTCACTGACAGTGGAATTACGTGACGCTGATACCTGCCAGCAGCTAACAGCGCAAAGGAGAATGATAATTATCTGTGAAGCAAAAAAAGATGGGATGACGATAGTGAGTGCAGCGACTGCGTGCCGGTGCCTCGAAAAAAGTTCGAACGTCACTCTGCACTTACTGGTTCACTAATTCGCCACGTGTGACGCAATTGAGTGCCAAGCTTAAAGACTGAAAACCGGGAAATTAGGTGTTCTGTGGGCCGATGACGTAAGGGCAAGGAAGTCGAGATAATGCAATACTCGATTACGTACATCAGGGCGGGATACGCGGAGGTGCGAGGAACGCTGGGAAAATGAGGTGGCAATCGCACTTACAGTTATTTAGATATTAATTGTGCTTTCCGTATGACAACTACGTACGCAGATAAATGCATGTTGGCAGCTAGTGAAAACTACGCCGGTAATCTACAGTATCTTATTGATTTCAACTCAAATATGTACACCAAACTTCGGACCGAGCCTGAAAGACTTTATTTCGAAAGATTTAAGTCAAGTCGTCGGAAAATGAACCCCGCAGCATGGAAACTGGAGTTCGTAAAACAGAATACATAGGGAAAGCGTTGGGTGACCCACTGATGAACCGAACCACTCGCAGTGGCGTCATGCAACGGCAGAAGATCGGCGATACACTCGTACCTGGGCTTTAAGCTAGTACTTGTGTTAGAAGTATGGTGAGTAATTATAGTCGTCCTGTTCCTTTAAACTTGACCACGCAGATACATGCTCGCCAGTCACAGAAGTCGGGTAAAAGATCGTCGATTGTAAGGCTCCATTTAACTGATTCCCAGTCTGTGGGAGTCATTGCGAATAACAGAACATACGTATCTACCAGAGTACAGAGCGTAGGGGTGGGAAGACCAACTGAATTATTCTATTGGTGAGAGGACTTCACCACAGCACATAACCGGTAGTCAATGGTGTGCGGGAGAGACATGGTAGCCATTCCTCGGCCAATTATAAATAATGACGGCTTGTATAGGGCAGATTTCCCCGCTACGACCAGGCATTCGAATTCAGGATTGCAGCCTTCGGGGAAGTTACCACTCGCCAGGTAATGCCAACATTGTATATTCCAGATTCGACACCAACGCAGGACCCCCAGTGGAGTGGCTATATCAACACTCATTGCAACGACTCAAAATATGCATGATATTCGGGTAAAAGCGCTCTTGATTGCGAGGCTCTAAGCACCAGGTCCAAAATACATGCTCTGTCGTATATGTAGTAACTTGTAGCGCGGGTTGTAAAACCCTAACCTTGGCGAGCACGAACCACCTGTCAGTGGCGGTAGAAGTATGTGACGCTGATGCCTGCCAGCAGAAAGCAGCGCAACGAAGAATGATAATTGTCTGCGAAGCAAAAAAAGGTGGGGTGATGATAATGAGTGCATTGACTGCGTGCAGGTGCCTAGAAGAGCGTTCAAACGTCCTTCTGCACTTAATGGTTCACTAATTCGCCGCGTATGACACAACTGAGTGCCAAGACTAAAGACAGAAAACCAGGAAATTAGGTGTTCTGTGGGCCGATGACGTAGGGGCGAGGACATCGAAATAAAAAAAGATGGGTTTTTTGACGCAATGATTGATTACGAAAATAGATACGCAGATCAGGACGGGATACGCAAGGGTGAGAAACGCTGCGGAAATTTGGTGGCAATCGGAATTGCAGTTATTTAATTTTTAACTGCGCTGTCGGTCTGACAACTACTTACGCGGATAAATGCCTGTTAGCGGTTTGTGAAAACCATGCGGTTACTCCGCAGTAGCTGATTGATTTCAGCTCAACTATGCAAACCAAACTTCGGACTAAGCCCAAAAGGCTTTATTCCGAAAGACTTATTCTAAGTTCGTGCATTACTTTCGTTAAAAAATAAATCCCGCAACACGGAAACTAGAGTTTGTACACCAGAATACATACGGAAACCGCTGGGTGACACTGATGAACAGAACCCCCTGCGCTGCGGCGTCATGAAACAGCATAAGATCAATCAGACTGCCGTGTCTTGACTCCTAGCTTGTACCTGTGCTGTTAGTATCGTAAATAATTACGTATAGACTTACATGAGCCTGACCATCGAGCCGAAGTAGGTAATCGACCACATCCTTCATGTGTTTTTCGTCCGCGGCTATTTTGCGCTGAAGGAAGATGAAATTTGCCATGTGCATAGCCCAGCCCGCACCCGGCAGGTTTCCCAGCTCCTCTTTGAGCACAATTC